TCTTCCCACAGATACAAAACGTGACGTGCGCCTCAAGCGCAAATGGCAGCAACTATGTAGACCCATTTTTCYGTATTTATRTGTCMTTCCCAAGGTTTCTMTKGCTACGGTGCTGACCTGCGCTCTTATGTCATGTTATGTCACTTATAGGATCAAGTACGGGACGCATGACCATAACAATYCTTAAAATTGAAACGGGRCYTCTGTTTATGTTTGCAGCTATGGAACTATCTGACGATATGGAACAAGAAAGCATGGCCAACGCCCGAAGACTGTCTATATCACGCAATCTCATTGCCGGTGGAGTTGGTGGTATGTTTGCATGGCTGACGTCATATCCGTTTGATACCGTCAAGACGCGCCTGCAAGCAATGCCGAGCTCTGGTCAGCCACCGCCTTATTCAGGYCCAATCGACTGTCTAAAGAGTATGATTAAGGCGGAGGGCGTGAGGAGTTTATTTCGAGGAGTATCATCACCGTTAATGATGTCAATTCCATCAACGGCTGTCATGTTTTATGGTCTTACTCTWGGAAAAMGRCTRCAACTAACAGATCTTGGGCAAGAACCGACATTACTTCAGTATATGAATGCAGGCGTTTTCTGTGGTTTTACATTGACATTAGTATCCTGYCCSGCGGAAAGAATTAAATGTATGTTACAGACACAATTAAAAGCCAAAGGAAAGTCTAATAAACAAGGTCCTTGGTTTCTTATAAAAGCTATATATTATCAGGAAGGCTTGAAAGGTTTCTACAAAGGTATCTTCCCTCAACTGGGGTTAACGATGATTGGATTCGGAGCGTGGTACCTAACCTACGAAGGTCTCTTAAAATCGATGAGGCCACGTGATAGCACACGTGATGACGTTTCCATGGCATCGATTGTTATTKCAGGTGCGGCCAGCGGGATAGCACTGTGGGCGCTTTGTTTTCCTTTYGATGTACTTAAAACGAAGTATCAAATATCCCCGGTAGGTAAATACCAGGGAAGTCGGTATATTCTACGGGAAATTCTAAGCAACGAAGGAATAAAAGGCTTGTACAAGGGGTACGGCACGGCATTGGTTCGAGCCCCGATATTCAATGTTGCACTTGTTATTGGGTACGAGTTGAGTTTAAAAACAATGATGAAACTACTTCCTTCATTAACAGTTAAATAAATATATTGCGTATGAAAATAGCTCATGTGTTATTTTACATTGTTGGCTATTCATCAGATGTTCTCTGCGAAACCACGTAACCATTTGCAGCAAAAGTTCGCACACGTACCGGTTCACAGTCCTTTTGATTGCACACGTGATGACGTCTCCATGACAGCCATGGCACTATCGGGGGGTTTTGCCGGGATCTCGTTTTGGGCGTTGTTATACCCGGTAAACAACATCAAGACTTGTTGCTGAACTGCCCAGATAGAGCGATATCGGGGATCACGTGATGTTCTCCGAGAAGTTTCGAGGACCGAAGGTGCAAAAGCCCTATACAGGGGATATGCAACAACCATACCTAGAGCCCCGCTGTTTCATATTTCGTGATTTATAGGATAAGAACTTACAATCAAAACTCTGAATAGATTTTCTCCTTGACGATTTGATATATGATGAAATGAAAATATGACTAAATGGGAGATGAGATGTAAGCAATAGAAAACACCTCTGAGCCTTTTACGTCACTACTTCATTTGCAATGCATTGCGGGATCAGTACTTTCTAGAGAAAACAAAAGAAATCTACCATGTTTTGTCCCAACAATAACGAGTTTTAGATACGCGCTTACGGCGAGCCCCAAACGTCAAAACTGATCACGTGATCACTGTTTTTCTGTATTAACGCTCCGTTCTTTCGCGATTGTGTATAAAATAGATCACTTTTTCGTGCATAAGCGCATGACTATTCCTTTCGAAGCGTTTTTACGTTTGTTTGAAATTTGTTGACAAAGCATAAAAGCCAATTTGACGTTTGCAGTAAACGTGAATCTAAAACTCTCTAACGTCCTACAATGCACTGCGTATATGGTGCATGACGTAAAAGCTTCAGAGGTCTATTGATACGCCGCACGAGGTCTTTATGTACGGTCTTAAGAGGCAGTCTCTGTAAAAGCGGTCTACTGCATTTCGGGTCAGAAAATAAATTTCTCTCAAACTCCTACCATCAAAAGGCAATTATAAATATGTAATCACAGTGGCTTTCTTTTTTCGAAATTCGTCAAAATAATTTTTTTACGCCCCATAATCTCAAGACCACCTTCGTCACCTAATTTGCATTGTTCGTCAATTGAAAATTGCACAAATTCAAACTGTCATAGCTCGTAACATATGAAACTCTGGAACAAATTGGTATTTTCTCTGACTTTAACAATCCTTCAGGTATAAAAAGCACGCAAAATTTTGAATATTAAGATAAACCGGGGAAAGAAGAAAAATATTTAACGACACCCACTTGACGTCTTTTCTGAAATACGAAAAACTACCCTTTACATATTGGCTTTTATCTGCCAAGTCCAGAACGGATTTTCGAAAAAAAGTAGTGCAATCTACTCTTCTAAGGATGGTGAAACTGGATCTATAAAAACATTTTGCGCTTTTTATCTGTATCATCTATAGCATTCTCGAACATTTTAGCGTTTATAGCAAAATAGAGCATGCAATATGCAAATTAGTAGTTCAATAACATGTAACTAGACGGTACGAATCACTCGAGTTTTCGCTGTCTGGTGTTAAATACACATAACATTATCCTAAACTCAANAAAAAAAAAGAGTTTTTATGCGTTTGCAACTTTACAAGTGATTTGCATAAAAATCAAAACAATTCGACTATCTGGACTATGGTTCTAAGACAGCGTAACATGAATTTTTTTGCAACGTTTTGACAATTGAGTAGTTTAACTTTGAGTTTAGGATAATGTTATGTGTATTTAACACCAGACAGAGCGAAAACTCGAGTAATTCATACCGTCTAGTTACATGTTATTGAACTACTAATTTGCATWTTGCATGCTCTATTTTGCTATAAACGCTAAAATGTTCGAGGATGCTATAGATGATACAGATAAAAAGCGCAAAATGTTTTTATAGATCCAGTTTCACCATCCTTAGAAGAGTAGATTGCACTACTTTTTTTCGAAAATCCGTTCTGGACTTGGCAGATAAAAGCCAATATGTAAAGGGTAGTTTTTCGTATTTCAGAAAAGACGTCAAGTGGRTGTCGWTAAATATTTTTCTTCTTTCCCCGGTTTATCTTACTATTCAAAATTTTGCGTGCTTTTTATACCTGAAGGATTATTAAAGTCAGAGAAAATATCAATTTGTTCCAGAGTTTCATATGTTACGAGCTATGACAGTTTGAATTTGTGCAATTTTCAATTGACGAACAATGCAAATTAGGTGACGAAGGTGGTCTTGAGATTATGGGGCGTAAAAAAATTATTTTGACGAATTTCGAAAAAAGAAAGCCACTGTGATTACATAYTTATAATTRMCTTTTGATGGTAGGAGTTTGAGAGAAATTTATTTTCTTACCCGAAATGCAGTAGACCGCTTTTACAGAGATTGCCTCTTAATAAACCAGAAAAAACGCTGTGTTWTTTAGAATACTGAACTAATTAACTCTACACGACGTTTTTTAAAACTAATCCAAACTGTAAGATTTTATATTCCTTTATTTTCATTTTAGTCAACGTTTTTATAAACTGAGCCTAGTTCAAAATATTAACGATTTTTTTTAGTCTTTTTTATGTTGACTTGGTTTTGGATCACCAATTCTAGCTATAAAATGCCTATCGATGAATCTGTTAACAGGTCTTAACATGTATTAACCACCCATAGCTTCACGCCACGATCGACACCATGACGTCTGCAGTCTGATCTGTTATAGCATTGCATGACTTGTTATCAATGTCTTGATCTGTTATTCCACACAAAGTCAAGCACAAGAAACAGTCGATTAGTAGAAGGCGATTTGAAGTTCATTTCAAGGTAAGCATGGCCCAGGTATCTATAGAATGGTTATGTAAAACATACCATACTAGTTTTCTAAGCTATTTTAGATTTTTAAGTATTGAAATACTAAGATACCATTCCCATATGTAGGAAAAATTTTTTTTAACAAAGACGCATAGCTGCGTGAACTCGGGGTTCTTGTTGATAAAAATCTAGTAGTGAATCCGCAATATAAATATTCAGCGTAAATTGTTATATCGATTAAGTTATAAATATATATATAATCTCAAAGAGGCAATATTTTGCTGTTACTACGAGTTTCGTGCTACGCACTCATCATACAGTATTTTTCGATAAAGTTTTACACTTTCGCAGTTTCTTTGTTAAGGCTCGTTTACACTTGCGAATTTTGCATTAAATTTTAATCATCTTTGGCTGCAACCGTCGTCCTCACTTAGATAGTAGGGAAATTCAGATTTGACAACGAGTACGAGTTTTATAACTGGCATTAAGTGTGCTTTTAAATATGAATTGCATTCCTGTGATAGATGGAAGTACTAAAGAAATAAGAACTTGAATTGGACTGAAATCAAGTATGGACAACACCATAAAAGCTTGCTCTCGTATTCGTACTCAATCTCGTACTCGTTGTCAAATGTGTTATGACACGACAGGCTATAAACACAGAGTCCTTTTCTTTTTCCGCATTTTTATAAAATACATCCAATCGTCGGTTTTTCCTCAATAGAACTCTGTTTGCATTCCTTAGAGAAGTCCTTTGTAGTTTCAGAGCCTGTATAACCAGTTAGAGTCTTTCTCCCCATGGAACAAAGTGTAATAGGAAAGGAGCGACAAAGTGTGTGAGGGTGTAATCGTGCTGTTGGTCAAGGTGGATCACAACTAATGAAACGCAAATTTTGTACTTTTTTAACTCACTCGCTTCGCAAAAGTATTTAGTCAAACGTGCTAAAATTTTGATAAAACATGCAGTGATTATTGCAGTTTTTGACAGTTGTCAGTATTTAGTACTTGATTGGCTGGTTGTAAAGATACAGTGCATTATCAAAGAAATAAAGACATGAACGTTGCTCAAAAATGAGCCCAAAATATGGCCTACATAGAATAAACTGCCACCATGATCTTGAGATAAGTTGTACATCAGTTTGTCAAAATTAGTGTGTTTGCAAAGTCAGTTCTATAAACTTTCAAATCGAAAGAATTACAATATTTTTACTGGAGATGAAGCTAGATGAATACTGGCTAAAATTGTACGGCCTGTTCAAAAATCACAAAAAGTCCATTTTCTTCTAAACGGCTCCAGAGATTTCTGTTATTATCCTTGTACTAATAGCTCAATCCTTTATCTAATAGTTGCTGTAATTTTTATAGGCTTTGAGGCTTTGCGTTCCAATCTTGGTAGAAAATATTTTTTTATTTCCGGTATACACCGCGGAATGCTGGTCTTCGCTTAATATAATTTATGCGATTTTGATAAGTCACTAAAGCTTGAAAGTCGTACTTCATTGCTTTTTGAATAATATTTACATAAATACACCAGTCGGGGGGAGGATAGTGAGCCTCCCCTGTGTCGTAACCAGGGGAAGCGTTGCGTGACGACACAGGGGTGGCTGCTTTCAGGAGGCTACATCTATCTTCAATGCGCATTGATTCCAAAACTATAATAATAATTACAAGTCAAGTTTGCCGAAGCTACTGAAATTGTTATTGATTTCATTGATAAATTCAATATTTTCCATTGAAGAAATAAATTCTATTGCTATCCTCCCCCCGACTAATGTGCGTATTTATGTAAATATTATTTAAAAGCAATGAAGTGCGACTTTTGAGCTTGTTTGAGCGTATTTGAAGTTGAATCCATTTCTTTCATCTCGCGTTATCACACTCGCCACCGAAAGATTACACATGGAAGTTGTGAATGTCATGTGATAGGTTTCATTCGTACCCAGTGCATTCTAGTTTGGCCGAGGACAATTTGTGACCGAAATAAGACCATGACGAAAAAGACAGCCGAAATTTAAACTCGGGATTCCTTTGGAACCCCGAGTACTAGTCAGGCTAACCGAAGGCGAAGCCCGACTTAAGTTCTACCGTCCGATCAATCCATGTATCTGTCGGGTCGCGTTATGAAAAAAGCTAGCCCGACTTCACGCTCATTGAGCGTCTAGTTAATACCAGTACTACTTTTACGGTTTTGCTGGATGCATGTTCCCAGAAAGAATTTCAGTATTTTGACTTCAGTTTCAGGCTCTCGACTTTCATGAGGAACTAATGTTATGATATAGTGGTGACTCTATCAACGTTTTTTGGCAGCTGCTTTGTAAAAGCAAGATTATTAGCTGTAGTTTAGGCATTATGTCTAGTGCTCGGATGTGCATGTTTAGGTTTGTATAATCAAGTACGGGCCATATGACCATAACAATCGATATAATTGAAACGGGGTATCTGTTTATGTTTGCAGCTATGGAACTACCTGACGACATACCTATATCCCCTGCACGCAATCTTATTGCCGTTGGAGTTGGTGGTACGTTTGCATGGCTGACGTCATATCCGTTTGATACCGTCAAGGCGCGCCTGCAAGCCATGCCAAGCTCTGGTCAGCTACCGCCTTATTCAGGTCCAATCGACTGTCTAAAGAGTATGATTAAGGCGGAGGGTTGGAGGAGTTTGTATCGAGGAGCTGTATCATCACCGTTAATGATGTCAATTCCATTAACGGCTGTCGCGTTTTATCGTCTTACTCTGGGAAAAAGACTACAACTGACAGATCTTGGGCAAGAACCGACATTACTTCAGAATATGAGTGCAGGCATGTCCGAAGGTTTTACAATAACATTAGCAACCTGCCCCGCGGAAAGAATTAAATGTATGCTACAAACACAATTTAAAGCCAAAGGAAAGTCTAATAAACAAGGTCCTTTGTTTCTTATAAAGATGATATATCATCAGGAAGGCTTGAGAGGTTTCTACAGAGGTGTCTTCCCTCAACTGGGACTACTGATGATTGGATTCGGAGCCTGCGAAAGCTTAAAATCGATTAGCATACCCGATGACGTTACCATGGCATCGATTGTTGTTGCAGGTTTGGCCAGCGGACTAGCACTGTCGGCGCTTTTGGTTCCTTTTGATGTCCTCAAAACGAAGTATCAAATATCCCCGGTAGGTAAATACCGGGGAAGTCGGTATATTCTACGGGAAATTCTGAGCAACGAAGGAATAAAAGGCTTGTACAAGGGGTATGGCACGGCATTGGTTCGAGTCCCAATAGCAAATGTTGCATTTACTATTGGGTATGTGTTGAGTTTAACTCATGATCAATGATGAAACTACAGTCAACTCTCTCGTAAGCGACCACCTCGAGAGATGGTCGTTTACGAGAACGTTAACACAGGAAACCCAAACAATGATAATATTAATCACAACACAGGAGGCCCAAATAGTTCAAAACACGTTCGTATTTAAAATCTTTGAACAATGATACTGCTTCCATGCCATTCCTCAAATTCTTGAAGTTGATTTTAATTTTCTAATGCTATTGATTGTGTATTTGATAGTTAATAGTACGCTTTTACGGTTTGTACTTTATTGAAGTAACCGGAAATATAATTTGTGTAAGCTTTATAAGTAAATTAAACACACGCCCTTATTGTGTCAGTCGAGGGTGGTCGCTTACGGGAGAGTTAAAACAATGAAGAATTCTACAATTTCAATCCCAAAGGTGGTCGTGGTCGCCTACCAGAGAGGTTTTTTTACAGAGTTATTTTACATCTTTGCCTTTTCATCAGATGTTCTCTGCGAAACCTTGCGCAAGCACGTAACCATTTGCGGCAAACGTTCACACACGTACCGGTTCACAGTCCTTTATTGCACATTCTCATTTTCCACTTATTTTTTTTAGAAATTTACAAAATATATCAACCTTAACACCACCAGTGGCAGCAAAAACTTGGTCGTACAGAAAACTACATTTTACTATCAAACCATTAGAAATCCATCTTATAAATATTACAACACTATTCGTTATAAACACTGCCATTCGATCATGTATTTGTTTTACCAGGGTCCGTGCAGAGTATCAAAAACGAAGTTTATGGACTTTTCAAAGACCTTTCAAGGACCAAAATTGTATTTTCAAGGAGCATCATAATCATGCTAATTGTACATTCTTACTTCAAATCTTCAGCCGAACGGAATAATTCAGAGGTTACTAGTGCTTCGTGATAGAGATCTATCTTTTTCAAGGAGTTTTCAAGGACTTTTTCGAAATTTTCAAATTTTCAAGGAGTTTTAAGTGCCCTTGAAAACGAGTTTTCAATTCAAGCACTTTTCAAGGATTTAAGGACCTGCACGGACCCTGTTTACACTATACTAATATTTCGTGCAGAAGACGCCCCCACCCCTCTCTTCATACGAACGGGATTTGTTAAGGGCTATTTCCATATAGTCCTATGGATCGTATAATAATTCTCACGCGACCGATACCACTATACAGATGTCAGGGTTTAAACCTTAACTACATCAATAAACAATCCATCGATGTGAAGGAGATGTGGCAGATATTATTAGAGCCAGCGGTTATATCAGTTTATCATATAATTATCTATGAAATACCTATATTTCTCCATTACGTAAAATTGATATTTTCACTAGTGAAAATAACATGTTATTTTCACTAGTGAAAATATCACATTTGAGGTTTCTCTATATAGTGGAAGTAAGAAAAAAGATATGTTCCGACATAATTTGCTTTCATATTTAATTATATGATAAACAGAATATTACATGGTCGCTTTGAGATAGGAATTTTATCTTCTCGTGTTGAAAATCTCTCACTCGTTCGCTACGCTCACTCGTGAGAGATCTTTTCAACACTCGAAGATAAAATCCGTATCTCCACGCACCCATGTAATATCCTCTTTATCTCCGCGCGCCCATGTAATATCCTCTATATCTCCACGCGCCCATGTAATATCCTCTATATTCATAGTATGTAAACTAGGATTAGTTACTCATCTCACGACGCAGGGGCAAAATGGCGATGAAAAGCCTTCAGCTAGGCTCTTTAATAATGAATGCCAGTATCAACCWTGATATCGTCAATACTTGGTCTTAAGACGTCGATTTTCTTCTCGTAATCTGTCGATTTCTTGYACTAATGCTTCATTCACTGAGTACCTTTCCATCATTTCACGAAGTTCATTCTGTCACAAAATATTGTAGAATAGTTAAAAAAAGAATAAGCTTAGAATAAACTATTACGCATGTTCTAATATGAGTTCTAAGCTCATCCCACATGGCGCTGTGCTTCATATCTGGAATGAATAAATAAGGTAGTGCGGACTTGGTAAAGGAAAATATGAGGCGAAGCACACATCATTTGGTGACATTTCTTTAATTTCATGTACCGAATGCATTTTTCGGTCCTGCAATTAAAGATGGCACCCGCATTGGGTCTATTTAGCATACCTGTTGGATTTGAAACTGTCTCAGCATTTCTACTTGTAGATTCACAACATCTTTGTGGATTGCAACTCTAAATATTTGAAGAAATATAATCAAATAAACCACCACGATAGAAACGAGGGAAAAACACTTGGTTACAAGAGGCAAAATGTCACAAGGGTGACATTACTTTACTCCGACGAAGGATTAACGTCCGAAACGTCAGTAAGTAATTTCAACTACTTTTTTACGGTGTTAAATTTAATTTTACACAAAATGTCACAAGTACTGCACTATGTTTTATGAGAAAAAATCACGAAAATATCGATTATTATTATTAACAAAAACCAGTTAAAAAGATGGCTGGCATACCTAAACTCGTCCATTGAATCGTCAATCATATTCTTAATAAACTCAATTTGAAACGGCTGTAGGCCTGCGTTACCATGAGCAGCGGCATCTCCATTGACATACGTCATCGGGTTTCTATTTTTTAAATGGTCTACTGCATCAATTCCTGGAAAAGACGCCAAATARAAGTCATATTGAATTAGTGAATGAATGAGTATTGACTGAATAAATGGATGGATGAAAGACAGATTGACTGA